GAGTTTATATACCATGAGTTCATGAATCAAACCATCAGATTAGAAGGTGTTGTAATTGCTTTGGAGGGTATCAGAAAGTTCTTAAGACGTCATGTCAAATTATCTTCGGTGATTGATATTCAAATAGGCTTGGAGAATAATCAGAAAAAGGTAAATATGCTAAAACCAAATCCAGATCTTGAAGATGCTGATGGTTATCCTCGGTTTATGATTCTTGAAGATCTTGTATTTGGAGTGGTGTATAAGAATCTAGAAGATGCAAAAAGATTTTTGGGATTTTTGAATTGTCAAGGTACTATGATGGTACAATTAAAGTGATCAAAAGATAGTTGGATTCTAGAAGATTAAATGACTATAAAGCTACTGGGTCTAAAAAGCTTATTCCCGTACAAAATTATACGAAAAATAGTATGCTTTATTTGGTTTTTTACGTCGAGGACAATTTTTTAAATTTCCATCCGCAATATATATAAAAAACCTCAAAACCGGCCTAGGGTGGACCACATATATACTTCATTTAAAATGGCTTTAGGTCAACATAAAGATATTTTATAAACATTTTGATCTGAATATTAAGAATGTAGAAACGTTTGTCTTTGCCTTCAGTGTTTTAGGTCATTATGTAAAAAATCTATGAAACATTTCGAAAAAAAATCATGGGTTAAGGTTTTTTTTAAGTCATCATGATAAAACTTTAGGTACATTTTGATCAAATTCCTAAAGGTGAACAAAATTCTGGAAACATTTTGACCAAAATATCCGAGAGTGTTGAATATGTCATTGTTGACTTAGACATTTAGCTTGGTATGTTAAATTCTTGGAAATATTTTGGCCACAATCTCGGTATGGATAGCATGCTAATTTTGACATGATATATAGTTAGTCTACATTATACATGATCATCTGATGATTAAACTATGTCATTATTGATATTTATTTGTTAAATTAAAAAATACAAACATACACATCACCAAAATGTAAAAGTCATATAAATGCAGATGAAACAAGTAAAATAGGTGGTAGATTATAGGAAATAAAAGAAATCGAAATGAATCTAGGTTAGTGGTACAATAGATTATTGGTTGATGCCCCTTAGTTGGTGATGCACTGATGCATATGGTCAGAGTCGGCCCTGATCCATTAATAAATTTGAGCAAAATGTTTTCGTTACTAAAAACGGACTTCTAGTTTTTTTCGGAAAATTATTGACGAAAATTATTTTTCGTATAAACTAAATAATTTTGAAAAACCTGTTTCGTAATCGAATCCCAATGCAGGATTGTTGGAGAGATCTACGTACCCTCTTCCAAGGAGTACATCACTGTCAGGATTTCAAGGTCCCTATTTTCACGTGTTCTTCATATTCCAACCAAGACGGATCTTGGGTTGAATGAGTATGCCCCTCTCCCATCTAGGGATGAACTGGTGATTCTCTTGAAGTTCTTGGGGTACAACAAGGTGACTCAATACCCTTCCCAATACCGACGATAGTACCTGCCACCAATGTGGAATACAATGTTCACATTGGTGAACCGCTCCTTGACTAGGAAGAATTGAAGTCTCAACATGTGTTTAACCAATATTCTTCAAATCATGTATGGGATTTTCTTTGACCTCTCGTTGGACTACTCATTGATCCTGTACATGGAGTTCAAGACTGCTGTTGCAAAGAAGTGCCAGGAGGTGGCAAAGGGAAAGGACTTGCCAGCGCTCCTGTTTCCTCGTTTTCTGGGTCTTCTTCTAAGACCCATTATTGACGAAAACGATATTGATGTGGAAAATCTACTTGTGCATAAGGTGAATGTGCTTACGCACTACAAACCAATTGTCAACAAGGAAGGATATGTTACAGAGAGACCTATCCCGATGAAACTGTTAACATATATGAAGGCGAGGGAGGTAAGGATAGCATACAAACATGTACTCGAGGCACTAGAACCAGTGCCTCGAACTCCGGCATGCATAAGGTCCAACCAAGAGGATGACAAAATAGAGGAGGCACAAAGGCCTCAGGCAGAGGAGGAGGAAGTGAGACAGGAGATGGAGAGAGAGAGAGAGAGAGAGAGAAAGAGAAAGAGAAAGAGGGTAGAGGCAAGGAAGAAGAGAGTTGAAAAAGAGAGGATGAGGAAGGAAGAAGAGAAGAGGGCAGAGAGAGCAAAACTAGAAGAAATTGCTCGTCTAAAAGAAGAAGAGAAGAGAGCAGAGAGAGCGAGACAAGAAGAAATTGCTCTCTTAAAAGAAGAAGAGAGAATCAGAGAAGAAGAAGACAATAGAAACTTGGAGCTCTTCTCGAGCTCTGAAGAAGAAGATGACCAAGAGCATCATGATGATGTTGCTGGGTCAAATGAAGCAAGTGAAAGGGACAACGCCCTTGATGATGATGTAGGGTCGGGGCTGAATTTGGAGAGAATGAAGAGGATGATGAGGAAGGAAAAGAAGTAGCTGCTCTGCCTCAGGGCGAGCCAGAGCAGCCAAGGATTGTGAATAGGCACATCTATTTCCTTAGCCCAACTTCCAGTGCTACCACATCATCTGACTCTAGTGGTCGAGACACAAAGATCACTAAACAAGAGGTTCACACCTCGATCCCTAACCTACCAAGCCAACCAGAGGTCGCATCTGCCTCTAGTCAAATTAGCCAAAGGGAAGCCACATCCCAGGGATCACCCTCTAAAAAATGTGATACCTTTGAAATGATAACTGATATGTCTCCCCATATCACGCCACTCTCCCAACCAGAGGAATTTGTTTCCTCTGCAATAGTCGTTTCCCCACCTTGTTCAGAGCAAAGTTTAGGCGCACAAGACTTGGAGATTCTCGACCAATCTCCTAGTCCACTCGTGGAGGGTCCTCTGGCCAGCTCTAAACCTGCCTTGGAACCCCTTCACGATGGAACAACAGTGGTGCCCTCTCCCCCAAGAGAGACACAAGGATCTGCTGGAAATGGCAGCCTTCAATTATCGTACTGACATGGAAATTCTCAAGGCCACGGAGGCAGCCGAAGAGATTATTAAACTTTTTGAAGAAAAGATCAAGGTCATGCCACAAGCAGACGTACAGAGGCCAAAAAGGAGAATGAAGCCACCAACTGCATGTGCAGAGGCCTTAAAGAAGAGAAGGCTTGACGACGATGAGGACCCAGACATGTCTGGCCCTCAAAGTCATCAAAAGGGGCAGAACCAGCCAACAGCCGTTACAAGTACCATTCCAAGGGCTGCCCCCTCTATCTCTGCTCCACGCGAACAAGCGCCAACATCATATATATATATATATATGTGTGTGTGTGTGTGTGTATGTGTGTGTGTGTGTTCATATGGTTCTTACATTAACAAAAATAAATTAATAAAAATAATGAGATTTTTTTATTTTGTAACTACCAATTAATAATAGGGGAGTTACATAAAAAAAAATTACCTAAATACCCTTTTCTCCTTTGTTCACATATGTTCTTTGAAATTGTAAATTTAAAAATTTAATTTTTTATCATGATTAATCACAACTCTTTATTGTAAAGAATCAATGGCCAAGATTGGTTATCAAAGTTAACACAAAAATCTTGGTTAGTATTTGAATCAAACTTTATATATATATATATATATATATATATACTATATTATAAAGCATTTGACAAAAACTCTTAAATATTATTTTTTATGCATGAAATACTGGCTATTGATGCATATTACTTAAAATTCAAAATTACAAGTAAATTGTGCATAGGTACAACTTATTAAAACTCCATTTTGAATTCGTATAACTAACTGCGGATAAACATAATCAAATAGAGGATAAACATCTTATTTTAAAATATAAAAAATCTAAAATATAATTAGAATAATTAGTGTGTTCTAACAAAATACTTATTTAGTATCTTTATAAAAAAAATTATTAAACCTAAATTAAGTTACTTCGTTATGTTAAATTAAATT